TGATTGAAAAACTCATATCTCACTGATTACTAATATTCTTGCATGATGTCTGTAAGGGGGTGTACAAAGAGTTATGGATATGTGCTAGGATTATGTTCTTAAAACGTGTTTGGCAAGCAATGCATAAACCAAGGCTGCCTTAGACAAAGGAATGTGTATTTGCTTGTCTAACCAGGCTGGTCTCAGGCAGAGACAATGAAGTATATTTACATATAAGGTAAACAAAGCTATCAAGCAGGGTGGAGCCAACACAGCATCTACATCCCAGAAGGAGCAAAAAACTGTATCTGGGGATACACTTCAGAGGAATCCATTTCAAAGGTTTACTGGGCTCTAAAGACAGGGTGTCTGACCCGCAAATGATAAGTATTGAATCAACAGATTGTATACAACATTACTGTGTGATAGAAATGTATTGAGTGAGCTGTTTTAGGAAAGCCTGTAATACACTAGTCTGCATTAATACTATAGTAGGATAAATGGATACTCATCGATATTACACTTTAAAGTCGGTGACCAGACACGGGGTTTTCTCTCAGATAGGAGGGTCAGCAGCTAATTGTCTCCAGTGTAAATTAAGCCTTATGGAATCAAAACAATGGAAGCCCCATTTACATATGAAACAGCAGGGGCATGGAAAGCCCACAGGAAGGGAAGAACAGCAGGAAGCCCTTCCAGCCTCTTGGAACAGGGTCAATGAGCTTTGGGAGGTATAAGCAGAAACAGAGAGCCATTCAGGTATCCATCACTTGGGGGATTCCAGGGGCCGGAGCTCTTGAGATCACAGAACATCTGAGCCTTCAACCAAGGGGAAGGATTGTAGGCAAAGATGGTAACGTGCTGAAATTAAGTTTTAGTCTTAGAAGCCTATTTTTACTTTTGTTTGCTTGTGAACCCTTCTGTCTTTATTCCCTACACTTGGTATCACATAATCCTATGTCCTGCTGTTAAATACACTTGTTTTACTATTACTATAAGCCTGTTCAGGCTGTGATTGAAATCAGAGTGTTTGTCAAGCCTCAGTTACATTATATTGTCTCTTTACAGAAGCAGCAAACTGAATAAATCCTGGGAGTGCTACAGGCAAGGGCTGGACACTTTATTGGCCCAACTTCTGCTTGTAGGAGAGACAAGCTTTGAGCTACACAGAGCTCTTGTTCCGGTCAGGAAGTTGGCACACAGCTTAGCAATAGCAGAACTCCCACTTGCTGAGGCTGAGAGGGGTAACACTGTAACTCCAAGCCAGGGAACCCAAGCAGACTGTTACATTGGCAGATGGCTTTGGGAAATTTGGGACTAGGAGGATGTTGGGGTCACCCTGACAGGAGTCACCAAGACAGATGGGAACCAGGGTGTGACCTACATGCCTGTAGGCTGGCTGTTGGTGTCAGAGCTGTGAGCCATGGCAGAGTAGCATTTAAGGCACCCAGAGTTGCAGGGCAGGTGGTGACACAACCCCTTACTGGTCTGGGTTGAACCTCGAAGTATCACACCCTGCAAGCCTCCCCAGTTGCCCCTGACACACTCCCTGAGTTGGCTAAATGCCATCCAGCTGGTCCATCTCTGAACTGCACCCAGGGAACATCCTTACATGCTCATGTTTCATACCATCCACTTCCTTTCCCTTGTTTCTCACCCCGACACTGAGTGGCAGGAGGAGCTGCCATCTGCGGAGGGTGGAATCATAGAATATCA